ACCTCACTTCGATAGTTATCGTCATCTTTCTCCTTCCTTTTGCATTTCTTCGTGCTTCTCCTTGCTTTTTCCTTCTCTTCCTCTCTTCTGTCTTCATCGTCGTTGTGGTCGTCGTCGCTATGTCGCCGTGTTCGCTCGACCGCGCGTGTGCGCAGATCCTTTTAAACTACAAATTCTTCGCGATCGGTCGTTTACATTTCCTTTTACATTTCCTCACGACGAATTCCATGAACGTAGACGAGGCGATAGCGCGACGAAGGGACAACTCAAGCGTGAAGATCGCGAAGAAGTGGTAACCTTCCTTCTCTCGTAAGGAAACGGGAGAGGAGGGAGGGGGGGAGAGGAGCTCTTTTGTGAGCATTTGTTGTCGAAGATTATGGCGATGGTATCTCTTATCGTATCCGGTACTCCCTACTTGTTCCTTATCACGCGCGGAGAATAGAATAAGCCGCATTTAGCGTGAATACGAAAATGGAGTCTATTGCGCATTATCTTCATTGAAGACAATGCGCAACTTAGAAAGGACAAACTTGCACACTTACACTTATTGCTTGAAATCTAACGCATATCTTTGCGATTATTAGTATCTACTAACATAGGAAGCGAACATACCCAACTATCTTAAATGTTAAAGGCTATATATAAGAAGTATTTTAATTTTTTTTATAATATATTGATCTTCAATATATTATACTCCAATAGCACAGAACTTGTAGCAATATTGTAACAATGTTGCTGCAAGTTTTATGCTCTGTTAGAGTATATTATAAATTTTCCAATAATACTGTCTACATTTTATGACAATTTGAATGAGAAGTGATCAACATCTTGTGCTATCCTTTAATGATTAAACATATTTTTGTTTTAATTGTAATTACTTTTGCAATGATATTGTACATTTTATAATAATTTACATACGAGAGATAATCAACACTTCGTGTCAATTTAATGATTAAATATATTTTTGTTTCAATTGTACAGCGAGATATAATTTGTACATAAGAACATTTTATCGTAAGATATTTTGACGATGATGATCTGTTCTACAACGAAACTTTCTCTCATGTTCTTCATCCATTTTGTTACAAGATTACCCTCCCTTTTCAAGTTTCTTTGTCCGTACCTACATACCTCGGTGACACTCGCATTGCATATTATAAGTGCGGAGCGAAGTAATCGGTCGATCCTACTTGGTCATTTATTACGTCTATTTTTAGACATCAAGGTACTGTCCTCGAAACTTGGCGAGGTCATAAAACTAGAGGTACTCCAATATGACCACCGCACCGGTTCGTTAAAAGAGCAGAGAAGAATGAGGAAACTTCATATTGCGCACGGTCATGCGATCCAAAGGATCCAAGTAAAAAGAAAACTCCCCCGCCCTACGATCAAAGGTCCGATAAATTCTCGAGTTACAGGATCTTTCACGTTAGAACTACCGTCTATTCTGTTCGTTCTAATTTTTCATGCCGTTCTTACGGCGATTCGATGAGCTTCCTCACATTTTATGCGAATCCGTTCTTCACCGCGTTTACCGCAATTGCAACCGGAAGCAAGGGCCACGAAATGAAAGGCTAAAAAGAACCTTTCGGCATTAGCTACGGTCCAATTTTTTCCGAGTTTCCGAAGAAAGAGTAAATAAAACTAAAAAGTTCTGTATCTGTAAAAGATTTGTGTGACATAAACTAAAAATTTTACCCTATGCTACATATAGATCTATAACAGAAAGAAATTTAAAAAATTTTAAATTTACGAGGGATGCGTGCAAAAAAAAGATGTTTTGTAAGAACAGTTACGAAAGGAAAAGTCATTGAAAAGACTTTTCTCTTCTATTCTTATTATCTTCCGACAAGGTTCCTAATGTCGATGTATATAAGCGGTTAATAAGAAAAGCAGAACAGTAAATCATAAAACTCCACCTCCAACAGTTTTAGCGACGTCTTATGCAAAATTGTCAAGGATTTTCTATCAAATGCTGAAAGGTAAGTGTAGGATAAATGCTTTTCGCATCGGCAAACACCGAGAATAATTTGATTTTTTTCAGTTTCATTGCCATTACATGAATCAGAGTTAAAGTCAAAGACGAGGCAAAAATTTATCTTCACGTGAAACTTATTAAAATATTTATATTAAAGCCTGCCTTCGAGGATCTTCAATGAATTTTCTTACAAATAACACGTGAAGCGAATTGAGAAGTGAGTGTTGTAACTTCTCATTGTAAAAATAATTCATATAATTTCTTTCTCCTTGTCAAAAATTTAGGAGGAGTTGCATCCCTGACCCTTCTTGCATACCCGGCCATATAAGAATAGATATATAATTAGACTGCCTAAAAATCGCTATAGATAAAAGATGGACAGTGAAACGCGTATCGAATAACCACATGGCAGCTGGTGCGTCTTCATTGCATATTCTAAACCAGGATTAAGAATTTCAGGGAAAAGCAGCTATTGTGAAAAAAAGGAAGGAGGATGTGGAACAAGATGGGAACCAGAACACGCGGGAGCGCTCTGAGATACGTCACGAATAATAAAAACTATACACGCGCGGTCGCGAATAATAAACCGTGCATCGGGATGCACGCCGATCATATTGCATTACGTATTCTCTCGACGTTTCTTCCGGAAAAAAAAGATGGATAAAAAACTTAGCCGTCGGTTCTCGGTCAGTCGATCCTGCTGACCTATTTGTGGACTTATAAAAAGCTTTGTATTTTTAAGAACGCGAAGTAGACAGAAAGATGAATCTAATGATCAGCACACGTTGTTATTATGGATACTTTGTATCAGCTAAAAATATCGGCTAAGAAGTAAATATCAATCAAAAATGTTCTCGTGAATATACCTTAAACCAAATATAAAATATAAAATTAATTATATTTAGCTTTTAGTAGCTTTAAGAAGAGAAATGATGTTTTGTTACAGTTTTAGATAAATAACTTTTAAATGAGTAAGTTGATGAAAATAAATTTTTACGAATATTTAGTAGAGTACGTTTTATTAGTACATATAAAAATTTTATTTTATTTTATATAATACTACTTCCTCAAATACTACTTCATCAAATTGGCAAATAAGTACTAAAACATGATCTTACAGATATATATTTTTAAAAATAAGGCAAACAAAAAAATTAAATAACTTTTAAATGATAATAAGAGAATTTTGTGTTCAATTTTTATACAAACAAAATTTTTACTCAGACGAAATAATGGAACAACTTATGAAATTTGATTATTTTGATAATGCTTTGAATTGTGACACATCCTTCTTTGTTTTCACGATATTAAAACTGTTTTTTAAAAATCTTTGTTTCCACGATGTTAAAACTCTGACATTTTGAATAAACGAAGCATTCGAATCACATTATAATCATAAATCACCATCTCGTGCTTCATTTAAATGTATGAAATGGAATGCACTCTAAGAAGCACTCAGGTGATAATCTAGGGTCGATCGATTATGTATCTCAAAACTTATTGTTAGTGTAAATGATAAAAGTGAGCTCTCACTTGATTGGATAGTTTTCATCATTCATAGGAAATGCGACATTTCTCATATAACATTGCTCGATAAGAAATTCTATGTCGAATGATGTTAAAGCGGTCAAAATTGAAATTTGTCAAAATCCGTCAAAATTTACTTAAAGACATAGATTATTGGTTTCCAATAATAGACATTATTTATGCTTTGTATGGAGGAAATGACAATGAAAATAATAAAATTCGCAAGACATTTGAATTTAATAAGAAGACGATTACGGGATCACTCAAGATCCATTTTCCCAGACAATACATTTAGAAAATTATATATATATATAGATTAGAATAAATATATTAAGTATATAAATATATAAATTATTTAAATAACTATGATGAAAAAATGGCATACATAGTCGAAGCAAATCTTCATGTCTTATAATATTTTTTGTGTAAATTTTAAAATTTCCAATTCAAACAAAAATTATGAAATTGTAAGATTATAAAATTCACTTGAAAATTTTATTGGACACTAAGATCCGCTTAACCGTATAGGTAATTTTATTATGTTAGTATTTTATGTTATTTGAATAATACCCCAGCAAACGAGGATTGAAATGAATTGAAATGGATTCAGATTTTCAGAAATATTGATTCACGAAGGTTAAAATGAATGCTTTTCAATCCTGAATGCATTTTTATTCATTTATAGGAATTGCATTGGAGCATATCTCGATACCTTTTAATCTAAAAATACTATTAGCTTTTCTGTGCACAACACCTACTTGTGAATACTGTTCAATTCAAAATTTTGAATAGGAAATGCAGTTTTTCAATCCAATTGAATCTAATCGAATCCAATTGAATCCAAAAAAAAGTATTCGCTATTTAAAATATGCATTCGGATAGAAAAAAATTTCAATTCATTTTAATCCATTCTCATTTGCTAGGACAGTTCATATAAATAATCCTAATGTTGAAATAAATTATATTCTGTTATAAATTATAGATATACACGTGTGTGTGTGTGTGTGTGTGTGTGTGTGTGTGTGTGTGTGTGTGTGTGTGTGTGTGTGTGTGTGTGTGTGTGTGTGTGTGTGTGTGTGTGTGTGCTTACGTGTCACAACAAAAGTTATGTATCACTTGCATTTCGCATTCATATCTGTGATTTTTATTCTCAGCATAGGGATATCGTATTTTCATTTATAACAATCGCATATTTTTTCACGTGAGATGAAAGTGCGAGAAGTGAGAATATTCAACAATACACAAGCGATCCCCTGGAGGTTTACTAGAATACTAATAATTTCATTGATCAAATCTAGTAAATTTGTTCACTTTTGTAATTTTCACCTTGTTTGAAGATACAGAATCGACTTTCAATCTGAATAATAGCTTAAATGTCGAATGTGTCGATTATTGATGTATAAGTAAGTTAACGCATGTCCGGACGTGTTTTGTTTTTTGTTCATTCTTGTCGGCGTCTCTGAACTCGCGACAGTCATGACGTCTTAGCGTACAGTGTCGCCGATCAAAATATATTCGGCTGTATATATTTCCGATTTCGACAGCGACGAGGACAATTACCCGTATTACGACAGTGGCGTTGGCTTCAGCTACGATAACAACAATAGTAAGAGCAATAGTACGCAAAATTCACAGTCGCCTCGTGTATACGAATTCGGCAAGTTCGAAGAAAACTATGACTGGATTCAATGCCAATCTAAAAGCTATTCCAATCACGTGTACTACCACAACACGCGGACTGGCTGCAATACATGATACAGACTTGTTTCGCATTTTATGGAATTCTTTATCTCATTCGCCTCTGTTAGAAGAGTAAGTTGATTCGAATTTGAGAAGGGGAATATAAAGTTGCGTTCTTATCCTTTTTACAATTTCTTGCATTTCTCGCGGTTTTGAGGACAATAATAATAGTCTATAACCCTATATATATATATATTTTTTTATCTTAGCTCCTCCCTCTATATCTGATGTGTACTTAGAAAAACAAATTATATCGATTTTCTTCGACTAGATATTTTAAAGAGAGAGAGAGAGAGAGAGAGAGAGAGAGAGAGAGAGAGAGAGAGAGAGAGATGAGAATTGAGCTATGTAATAAAAAAAGAATAACGGCCAATAAACGAGCAAATAATGAATATAAAAAAAAATATTAACATAATTTATTCAATCAATAAAATATATTCGCTGAATTCTTTGGAATAGAATTTTATTGTAAAGAGTGAGAAAATTAAGCAATTTTTCCAGTTTTCTTGAAAAAAGAGCTTAGTTTTCAATCTTTAAGAGTGAGATAAACACCTTAATTAAATATATAAACATTCATAATAATATTAAAATTATCTGATTAAGAAATTCTAATCTTCAATTCACAATTCTCGAAAAATTAATCTCGAATGCGTAGTTTGATATCTTTACGATTCCTTTACAGAAATTTCAATTTAATAGATATTAGTTAATTTAATGATAATGTTTAAATAACAGAAAGATAGTAATTACTTTTTTTAGTGTTTTTAACTCTCCGTCTGCAATCAGGATCTTTTTTGGTACAAACAAAATTCTACTCTCAAATTTCTCAGAAATAAAGGAGGCCTCAGAAATAAGGAAACCGTTCGGCTCCAAATTATATATTAATTATTTATATATATTATTATATATGATTGTAGTGCTGTGAGAATAGCAATTTGGAGCCGAAATGTACGGTTTGTGAAGTAATGTATTTTCAGTTGAATTATTAAATGAATTTTTGTATCAATTAATTGCATATCGTTTACCGTGCCGACTTTTAAGACCTTTATTTAACATTTTTTTTTTTATTTATTTAAATCAGGAATTTATTGTTTTACATTTACCATTTATATTTTACGGTTACAATAAACTTAAGCTGAACAAAAAAAAGACTTAGATTGAAGACGGCGGAAGGAATAAAAATATGATTGCAAGCGAAAGGTAAGTAGATAATCACTATCTTCCAGTATTAAATTTCTGTTTGCGACTAAAGGAAAATCGTTTTGGTAAGCAAATTACACGGGCGATATTGTGGAATCGACAAACGATTTGGAATTGATGTCAGTATCAGATGATGAAGAAGAGAAACAAATTTCTGCACGCGATGGCAACAATTGATCGATGGTGCGATATTATTACACTCCCCAGATGCTGATGAGTCGTGCAATATGACAGACGGAAGTGACTGTTACAAGGAAAAGAAACAAGACAAGACATAGACGACGAGAACAACAACATAATCTATTCGCCATTGTATGTCGCAAATTTTCTTGAGAATGAATTTTTTGAGGATACCGAGGAGAAGACTAATCAAATATTAGAGAAGACTAATTACATATTGGACTCGTTGAACACTTCGGACATATTTTCCTTCCCAACGGAACTCGTCATATATGGCGTACCGCGTTTGAAAAAGATCGACGTTGAGTGCCAATTAATCAAGCCAAAAAGAACGTACGTCACCAGAAGTCGGAAAAAGCCAGAATCCAAGAAGATCGTAAGCGACATGTACGGCGTACGGACCATCAGTTACAATCTACCTGAACCGGATGAGGTATGCGCAGCGATGGGAGTGAAAATATCAATGTTGAGCGACAGCGAAGCGAGCATATTACCCTCGCGACGCACGAAAATGATGAGGTTGCTGGAATCTGAATGGCGTGATATAGAGAAGAACTTGCATCAACCGTTATTGAGCGACTCAAGTTCCAGTTCATCGTCACGGTCCGATACGACCAGCTCCAATTCTAGCTCTAGTTCTAGCTCGAATCAAAATAACAACTTCAGTTCCAGCTCCAGCTTTTGCTCGTGTTCTTCTTGCGACAGAAATGCTTGATATTCAATCGAGTTGTCCTGTTATTTTTATGTATACGAAAAGAACGATTTTGTTAAAGCATTTAAAAATTTAGTTAGATGTAGATCTTTAATTTTATTAAACCATCAGAATAATTATTAGAAAACTCAAGTTGAGTAATATGGACGTACTTAGGATCTCAATTGGGAAAGGCAAGGATTTATCTATACTTTTTGAAATATTTATACATATTACAACTAGCTTTGAGATTGAACATCTTCAACGAACTTTTTTAAGAATAGCATGTAACAGATAGATAATGAGTATTTATGATTTTTATAAATTTGTTTATTTTTTGCCAGAGAGGACAGGCGCCTCTCCCTTCTCTTGCGTCCATGAAGAGTAATATTGCAAAAAATTTTGATGTTTTAGTAATTAGCTTGAGTGCCCTACATAATTATTTTGATAACATCTCCAACAAAATTAATTTCAGATATGTATCTAATTAAATTTTTAGATGTCTTAGTAGTCGTTTTTTTCGTGTAGAAATAGAGTCTTCTTTTAGGTTTTTTTTCTCGTATCAATCAATATTGTCTTTTATTAAATAATTTTATTTTGGAATTTTTTTTGATGATTGCTAGAATCTAAGTTTTTTTATTATTATTTTCTGTATTATATTTTTTATATATGACAAGATACAATTAGTATTTGCTATCTTTATTTTCGTATTTTTTTAGTCTTTTGACTTAAGATTTTAATTTTTATTTTATTCGCACAAATCGAGTTAGTTAATTACTACTTTTTCTTTTTTCTATAACCAACATTTTCTGTCGTTACGTACGAAATTACAAATATATACAAAAATAAAATCGATGTTGATACTTTTTTTCTAAGATGCTGTCTAACTCCTAAAATAAAATTTTATATCACACCTTCTCGCAAATTCAAATAAATCAAAGCTCTATTCATTAAATGATAAGAAATATTCAAAAAAACAAAATATTTTCTTTTTATTATCCGTTTCCGAATAATATGTCATTCGAGAAATTCGAAGCGTGAAATAAAACACCTTTACATCAGGATGACCGTCGTAGACTGCGATTTTTGCGGTATAGAGGGTTCCCTAAAAGGGGGACAGGGGAGCAAGAGAGGAAGAACGTTCCTTTTTCGCTTACGGGCATTCTTGGTATCCCGCAGTTGGGATCAGTAAGGTAGGAGTGCCAGGGCAACAGGGAGATGCAGGTGCAACGGTGCGCCTCGGGTCCGTCACCGTGGCGTGCCTCTCGTTTCGCTTTAAGCACGAAGGTTGTGTTTTTGCTGGTCTCGCTGTGCCGTAGCGTCCCACCGCGTGGCAACGCGCCGCGTTATACCGCTTCTCGCGGCGGCATCAGCGGAACGCAGTGAGGAAGGAACGAAAGGAACGAGAGACGGGACGGACGGGGCGACCCCCCCTCGCGGTTCAAGAAACGTTTCGCGCTTCACCGACAACGTTCTTCCAACTATCTAAGAAAATTGATCGTTTTAGCAACAACGACGCGGTCTCGGAATGACGGTGACGTTTTTGCGAATTATCGTTACCAATTTATTTTCATAGATAAGATCGCGCAAAATTGTATAATACAATGCATCACGTACGTCAGTGTAATGCTGCAATTCTTTTTTTATTTACATGATTGTGGTATATATTTAATATTTCAATATAAGCATGCATCCTTATATTAAGATTTTGATTTATGTCAGAATAAAAAGCTATCCTTAATTTCCCTCTTCTTGAAAATATTTAGTTGACACAAACTAACATGATATCAATGGCTATGTTCAGCAGAAAATACAGTTTTGCAACTGTTGTAAAATTCTTTAACATGATTAGTTTTACCAGTTCCTTGGAATTCTAAATGTATAAACCAATTTTATTATTAAGGAATTTTACAAGCAAAGCTGCATTTTCTATTGAACGCAGCTAATGTTATAATTTCGCATTCAACAATATAAATGTAACACATGGTTACATAATAGTGTTAAATTTTTTAGTTTGAAATGATAATATGTTTCAATATAGATCATTCTAACAATATCGCTTCAACATTGTGATGTTTTATACTGTAACATTGCAAACATTGCAGCAATATTTTGGTGCTTTCCAGCAAGAAAGACAATGTGACAATGATTTCCTCTTTATTTAATATTTACTAATAACAAAGATTTAATGATCACTGTCACCTGTGTCTTTTACTGAAAAGCATTCATTGTTACAAATTTTTATGCTTTATGGATTGATGTACTATGTCGACCCATACTTTACGTTTTCAAATAAAACTCTAAATATCTCATGTAAATATGTATCGTATACAGGTAGAATACCCTCGATTTATTACAATTCAATGAACATAAAAACCTCAATCTGCAATTCCCGTCCTTTTCTCCTCTCATCAATTCGGAGTCTTATCGTTTTCTTGCATTTTCTATTCGAACCCGACGCAAATCCACCGCGACGATTGCTCGGGCATCGCGACAAGTATAAACGTGCCAAGCGTTCGCCCGCAAAAATCACAGCCGGTTTTCTAGCTCGGCATATGGCAAACGTTACCTCCGCGCGAGTGTTTATTCGCAGCCGGCGCGCCGTCTCGCGGCTATTATTCGCGCCCGTCGTCGTCATCGTCATCATCATCATCGTCACCGTCGAATTCGCGTTGGCTGAGAGCTAAGAGTTGGCTGGAGAACGGAACAGACCGACGCGCGAACGACAGAAGTGTGAGGAGCTCGCACGAACGGCCGCGTCGTACCGCATCACTTCCGGCTGCCGACGCGCGCGGTTAATTTCCTTTCGGCACGGCGCGATTGTCCGGTTGACCGCGGATTCATCGGCGCGATGCCGCTGGCGTCATCTGTCGTTGGCTATTAAACGCGAGCAAGCGGCCGCGTTGTGATTGATGACGAATGATAAGATCCTCCCTCGTCCCTTGCCGCCGCGATGACTTTTGCAACGGCGAAGAAATTTATATGAAATGGAACGATACAAAATGAGATATTCACATATCTTTGTATACTCTTCCCCTTTTTATTGTCCGGAAAGTTCGTGCTGATTTTGAAGGAAAATTGAAACGCAGAAGATTTAAATTTTAGTATACATTTATTAATAAATTATATAGATTAGTCGGCACGAACTTTTCGGACAACCCAATAGATCGGTATGCATAGTCGATTCCTAGCAAACGAAAGAATTATATGGATTAAAATGGATTGAAATTTTTTTCTATCCGAATGCGTATTTTAAATAGCGAATACCTTTTTTTAGATTCAATTGGATTCGATTAGATTCAATTGGATTGAAAAACTACATTTCCTATTCAAAATTTTGAATTGAACAGTATTCACAAGAAGATATTGCGCACAGAAAAGCTAATATTATTTTTAGATTGAAAGGCATAGAGATATGCTCCATGCAATTCCTATAAATGAATAAAAATGCATTCAGGATTGAAAAGCATTCGTTTTAACATTCGTGAATTAATATTTCTGAAAATCTGAATCCATTTCAATTCATTTCAATTCATTCTCGTTTGCTGGGTTCTTATATTTAAGACTATCTTAAGTATATAGTCTTAAGATGCCATGAATCAATCAAAGAGTCGTATTATCTTAAGATATTATTTAAGATGGTCTTATAATAAGAATTAATCGACACTATGGATACCGCTCATAGTCATTATGATCTCATTTGTTATTTAAAAATTAATTACTCATTACATAAGTGACAAATACAATTAATTACATTACATAAGTGACAAATTAAGTAAAGTCTGATGATGTTCTTACGATATTTGATGTTCTCACCAGCAAGAAACTGCATAGCTAGTGATCTTTTGTTTAACATTTCATTTTTTGTTTAACATTAGACAACAAAGATGTAATGATTCACAGTATCATCTGTATCTCTTGCTGGAAAGCATCTTATTATATTATGAATCAAGATAAAAATTACAAAAGTTAACAATAAATAACAATAAATAAAGGGCAAAGTAAGAGTCAAACACATTTAAACACAATTAAATAGAATAAATTATAAATAAAGAAAAAATAAAAATGAAGAAAACCGTCTAAATTCAAATATAGAACATTACAAGTTACAAATACAAAACATTAAAAGTGAACAAATTGAAATAATTTATGTAGGTCTGTATAGTTAAAAGTTAATAAGAAAATAATTGTGGAGATCTTTAATAATAGAACAAATCGATCTTTAATAATAACAAATCAATCTTGAGGAAACGCATTATATACTTACGTAGTATCGATACTACACTACTACGTATTGTTCAATGAAATTATAAATATACTAATAAATATATTCACTTTTTTTCGCGACTGCTGTAACCGCAAAGTAGTAAAAAACTAAAGAAAATATAATAATGCATCAAGATTGATTTATTAAAAATCGATTTGTGATTAAATCGATGTTCTTATTAAAGATCTCCACAATTATCATATATTTTCTTATTAACTTTTAACTATACAGACTTCTACATAAATTTTCACCTCATTTTAAGATATATGGATCAACTCTTGTATCTTCTTTATTTCCTGTTCTCTGTTCCCTATTATTCATTTCTTTAATTACGCGCAGCTCCTTTCGCGTTTTATTCTCGTAGAAAAAAACTGTAAACCTAGATCTCGCGAATAAACAGTTACGCTTCCCTCCCGAGGATGACGCTTTAAAGGATTAATGCGATGCGTTTAAGATATTGTCTCGTTCGAGAATCCCAGCGATTCTTCCGCCATTGGCGCATATATCATAAAAGCTTATTCTTTTTTCATTCAATGCTAATGCTGATTAATTTTCACTTAATGGGCGTTAAAACGCGTTCCATTCGCGCCGCGAGTCTTTCGCTCTCTCAAGAGTCACGTTATTTCAAGCAGCCATCTGCGTCCCGCAGGGAGATTGTTCGTTCCGGCTTGTGCTTGACGTCTCACACCGTACAAGTGTTTATCTGTCAACGTGATAACTGCGGACGCGACACTTTGAACGATCGTTAAAATTCCAT